AGAGAGAGAGAGAGAGAAGGTGAGGAGTGACGTAAAATTTAAGAACCACCCGCATTAAAATCACTGCCTCCGCTAGTATTTCAAGCGGTTCCTTCCTTGTCGCTTCTTCTTCTCTCACGTGTGCTCCTTCTCGCGCGCGTTACTTCTCTCCTCCGTTGTGCGCAAAGGGGTGAAAGCGTCGGACGACAGAAGGAGACGGAACGAGAAACAAAGAGGGAAACGAGAGAGGGAGGAGAGCGGCAGTATATAAAGGGTTCGCAAAGTGACTCGAATTGCTGCACCAGTCGACTTTACGAGACGGGGTATTGCTAATATCAGAACATAAGGGCCGGCCCTCACCCTTCCAATTCAGTATAAGGTCTTCGTTTCGAGCCCTTTACCACTTTCGTCAGAATCCGACCGGCACGATGGCTACGAGAGACTCCTTTAATCGTTCGACCCTCCGCGACATTTTTAGTGGCCATCAAAAACTGTGACGTTGGTCTTAATTATTAGGGCGGAAGGAAAACGGGCAGTTGTTCTCTTGTTGTCGCCGTTACTCTCCCGCTATTTCGGAGCGCACGCTGTTCCCGTTTATTTGTTGCTCGCGTCTATCTTCTCGAATAATTTCTTCAATTGCGCGAGAATAAAATAATATGATCGAAAATTTCGCAATAATTTGTTGCACACAAAAATGAAAATTTTTATAAAAATCGTTTTAAATTTTACACCAGAGACATGGATAATTAAAATGTCAAAAACAAACAATTGGATATTGAACACTGTTAAAAAAAATTTCTAGTTTTATTTGCACGATCAACAGAAGAATATAAATAATTTTAAATATTTTGTTTTTCAAATAGGAATTTAAAACAAATTTCACACGTGACGTTGGCTTCTCTGTCTCCTTTTTTTTTTTTTTTATTTAAATTGGATTAATTAATTAATTAATTAATAGATACACACACACACACACACACACACGCGGATAGAGTATAGCCGGCATTTATCGACGGTGTTGATACATAATTTACTGATTAACGAGTGCGCCTGATTAAGAGACAAATCCCGACTCTCGTTAGGGAGCAACGCAAACGCGAACAAGCGTTTCAAGCGGAATGATTCCCCTTTAATTGCACACGGCAAGACCGGTTCGGCGCGCGCGTCATGCTTTTCCTCTTTCCCTCTATCGTCGGGTCCGCACAAAGCTTTTCTGCCATCCGAACCGTCGCGGATCGCGATCCGCGACTGGGCGTGTGTGCGTCTGTGTGTTCCGCGTCATCGTATCGCCCTCGGTGAGAATTTTCGAAGGGCTGGCCCGTCATGCGATCCGATCACGCCCTCCGGAGATTTTTTGCGTTCCGCAGTTACAGTCAATAAAAAAAAAAAAAAAAAAAAAAAAAAGTTCTCGCGCAGGCTTCTGTCAAAATCGGTCAGTCGAATCGTCTTCGCGCTAAAATACAAAACTCTTTTTTGTTTTCTCTCATCAATGTCGCGGCTCTTTCTGATGAAGCTTGATTATTCGGACGCGGCGCCGTCGCTAGTGTATTTCTACTCTGCGGTGCCGAATGTTAAATCGAATCGCCAAACAGAATATATATCAGTCTTTTATGCTTTTTGAAATTTGATGCCGGCACACAGCAAACAGCCGGCTGTGTTTTCAGTTTCGCACAAAAGTGCGGCAATTAGTTACCATCTAACGAGTAGAAGTGTCAAAAGGACAAAGCGATGGAAATAATGAATGGCCCTTAGCGCAACGTTATGTATGCGTCACCCCGGGGCATATAAAGCTCCGGGGCAAAACGATGCCCCGGCGGTGTGTGTCACGCGTATACACGTGCTTCCCGGAACAAACGCGAGTGAACCCGAATGAAAGATCGTTTCAGCCGCTAAGGTTAACACGCGCGCGCGCGGCCATTGCGAAATTACGAGAAAGATACCCCCGCGCGTTTCACGAACCGGCACGGATTATTACACGGCTGGGGTTTGTACGCCCCGGTTTCTCTCTCGTTTCGCGAATCCCTTACGCGATGTCCCCAAGGTGCGAACGAGAAAAAACGAGTTGCGGAGAACGGGGGGGGGGGGGGGGGGTGGAAAAAAAAAAAAAAAACCCTGTTTTCGCATTACAAAGTTTTAATTAGTATGTTACGTTTACTATATACAACATATACCCTCGCGAATAGTCGCCGAGCATATACCCCCGCTCAGGGGTGGCGGCGCGTGCCCCTATTTGGCAACCTCTGGTTATAGGGCGATGAAAATTTTATCAAGCCATTTCAAACAGCACACGCGACTCTCTCGCGTGTGGAAAACTTCAGAGAATCCCTGAGAGAGATCGTCTCTTGGAAGGAAAAACCGACGGACAACTCGCGGAGGTAAGAAGCCGGAAAACGCGCCGTTGCTTGAAACACTTGCGCACGCCTACGTGCGCGCATATTGCGACGGGGGGGGGGGGGAGGCGGGGATGAAGTAGCTTAGTTTCGTCGCGGGACCCGAAATTAGATTTCGCGCCCGCGCGTTCGAGAAGAGACGTTCCAAATGTTCGTTCCCCTATATAACATTCCCTTTTTCTTTATCCCGACGTTCTTCGACGTCGCCCTCTCTTCGCCGCCACCCCCGTTGATGTACATCAACCACCCGGTCTCTCTTCGTGTCTTCATTCTTTTCGTTTCGTCCGCGTCTTCACTCCGGACCGCGTTCTCTTCTTACGGGGCCGGCGGGGTTTCTTTCTCGTTTCTCTTCCTTCCTTCCTTCCTTCCTTCCGCGCCGAGATTCCGCTTCCTCCGGAGACGCTCGACGACGTCGCGACGCTTCTTCACGTTCCGCGGCGCTATATGCATATTTCACCGATTTTTATGGAATTCCTTGTAGACTTCTTTCTGTTTCCTCTTTCGCGTCCGCTCTCTCTTCTCTTTCCCCATTTCGATTACGGACTTTGTTCTTTTTTCTCTCTCTCTCTCTCTCTCTCGCGTTTAATGGCCCTCTTTTATCTCTCTAGCTTCTCTGTCTGTTTTCAAACATTGTTCGTTGTTTGAAAATAACGTAAGCGCGTTACAAATGCCGATACTTGATTTTTTATTTGCAAGAGATTTTATTCAACGTGTTATTACATAAAGATTCAAAATACGGTAAAAATGTTCTGTGACATTCTTAACATTCAATTTACGCTCGTTTAAGGTCTCTTGTTAATTTCAATTGACATTTCGCGTTACGAGCTTTGATACTTTTTATTATTAACATTAAAAAATGTTAATTGTATATAATTTTGTTTATTACACATTATACGACAATCGCACGTTGATGTTGAATTAATGTTGCGACAAGTTGCGTACGTCTTTCTCGTTTAGCAAGATTGTGACATTTACGTGAAGAAACGGTGCGTGGGTGTAAGAACATCGCGCCTTTTAAGTAAAACGCCGCAATACGCAATCATCAATACGCTTTTGCTCTCGCGCGTAGGCGAGTGTTTTTAAATTAATTATATACAAGAGCGAAACTGGATGGCATTAATCACGCTAACCTAATTAAGAGCCGTGCGTGTATACGTTGCAGCGCAAAAGAAAACGGTGTCGCATCCTGCGAACACTTTTATCCTTCGCGAGCGCGATCGAAGATATAAATCTTTTTTTTCCACGTACGTGCGCATTTAATTTAATCACAAACAAACAAATGCTTTATACGTAAACGCGCAAAGTTCACTGTGCTGTGTGTGAATGACATTCTTATTAAAAAAACGAAAACAATTTCTCACGCAAAAAATTTTCCATTGTCCTTGCGATACTTTCTCCTTTGCGACAATTGTTCGACGTGCGTGTTTTTACGTAAAAACAATATGTTTTTTCAACTTGATATAATTCAATTTTCTAATAAACTCTGATTCAATATCTAATGAACTCAATTAAAAACATTCCGGTGGTAAAGGTTAACACTGTCTTGTTAATTAAGTCTAATCGCGCGCATGAAGACTTTCACTAGAGAAAAAGAGAAACACAATATTAAATATTAATAGTCAATTGGGACTAATTGCTAGTTTATCGTTAATAGACATATTTCTGAGATACACACACACACACACACACACACACTTGTCTCACACAAAGCAGAATATCTTTTAAATATGTATTTTTATTTGTATTTACGTTCTTTTGTTTTATCGCTAATTACTATGTTACTATATTTTTTACAAAAAATTTCTTTTTATCACTAATTATCACTATAGTTTTTACAAAATGTTACGACATAAAATTGCCTAAAACGTAAATAAAAAATCGAGTAACAATCACCCGCGAGCAATGATAAGGAAACGTAAAGTAAACCACACACGTGACGCATTCAAGAGCGAGGTGTGCTAGAGACCTACTTTGTGATGATGATGCGGGTATGAAAGAAAAAAAAAAAAAATCATAATGCGTGAGAACGGTTTTAATCGAGCATGTGTAATCGCGCCTTGTTTCGCGATTATAATTGCACGTTGGTAGCCGCGAAAAATAAACGAGCAACCGTTAATTACATATATGTTTTCTCGTTTGATACGAAAAGGATTATTGCACACACACGGTGCGTTGTAAAAAGGACTTTAATGAGGCTAAGTCCAGAAACTAAAGATGACAATGTCAGAATACAATACGGATGTGTTTTTATCTTATTTTATTTTATTAATATTGCGTGCCAGAGACACACAGAAGTTCAGAGAGTACCCTTAAAGTACGCAGTAGTACAGATGAAATAAAGATGCAAAGTAAATACAATTTACAAATTTATACACGTACACAGACTGAAGACAATTTACAATAAACACTTAAAACAAAAAAATAAACATAAAATACAAAAATAAATAAATAACTTAAAAATATATTCAAATTAACATTATCTTTTGTTCTCTCGTTTTTTTTTATGAGTTCCTCGTAAGATTTTTTTCGAAGATCTCTCTCTCTCTCTTTCTCTCTCTCTCTTTCTCTCTCTCTCTCTCTCTCTCTCTCTCTCTCTCTCTCTCTCTNTCTCTCTCTCTCTCTCTCTCTCTCTCTCTCTCTCTCTCTCTTTCTCTCCCCGCTTTCAGCAACTATTTGTTATTCACGAGAAAGACAATTTTGCCTTCGGCGAAAGGGCTAGGCCGGGCATATCGGCAACGATACATCCGAGACTCCGCTTGTCGGGCTTTGCCTTATATTCCGTATATATCGCCCATGAGGCAACAACGTGCCTCCTGAGATCAGTATGACTGTCGGTGTGTACGGATACGACGTCAGTATGGAAATAAAGCACTTCCGAGCCCCCGCGAAAAATGCATACGTTCCCGTTGGCTAACCCTCGAAGCCTTCCTTCGAAGATCCCTTCCGATTCCCTCCTCGTCGCAACGTCTTGAAAAATCCGGAACGCCACGCGATATATACGGTCGCGATTAAAAAAGCACAGAGAGAAGGAAGTCGTTACCACGCGCCTTCGAGAGATCGCGGATGGATAAAATAAAATTCTTCGTCTTTGTCTTCAAATTCGTGAATTGTTCCCCGTGACAAACGTCGTCGTCGTCGTCTCGCGCGCGGTATCTTCGACGAAATTGAAGAAATTTATTCACTCCGAACTCAACAACGTGTGCAATTTTAATAAATTTTAGATCCGTTCGAAAAAAGATCGATTTTAACATATTAATTGACGACAGTTTGTCAATAAAAGTGACAATCTCCGTTGATGACTAAATCGCGATGTTTTATCAGCTAGAATGATCACCGCTGCGCGTGACACGAGATACACAGTCGAAATGTGTCACATATTGAATACAACGAACGGCACAGCGCGGAAATCAACAATATCGTATTTATTAACAAAAAAAGTAGTTTTTTAATTTTTTTTTTTTATAAAAAAAAGGAAAGAAAAAAAATTGCTACGAGTTTTACCACGCACGACCTTAATGTACATTCGTTATTTTTACATTCGTTATCCCTCTTGTCGAATAATATTTAATACGCAAGAAGAAATTAAGCGCCGATATAAACTGTGTATTGATATCAATCGGGACTCTCGGAATCGCGCGCGCACGCGCGCGATATCAAAGAAAACTGATTTCCATCCCATCGCCGAGAATTAATTTGCTCACAATGTAACCCGGTCGTCGGGGAGCGCGTCAACGCGAGCCGCTAGTTCATCTTTGCGCGCGGAAAACGTGTGAATTTTCTCATAGCTTTAGATCGCGCAGGAAGTTTCATGATTTCATTGTCTGTACCGCGAAGTACTGAAACAAAACCAAAAAAAAAAGAAAAAAACCAACAACGCACGAAACGGAGCAGGCAGGTAGACGGAGAAAGGAACCAACGCGAGAGAAGTGAACGAATATATACCGACACGGCAAACGGATTTGGAAAATCTGCGAGTAACGATTTTTAGCGTGGAGATAAAAAGAGAGAGAGAGAGCTGGGGTGCTAACTGTCCTAATCAAATGCGAGAGAAGCGATAGCGCGTTTCATTTACATAACCGTAATTCTACTTAGCGGCGGACACCTAATTCCCTCATACGTTTCCGTTTCTCCGGCCGCCGTGCCAGAATTCGCGGTATTTAGGCGACCGCCGATTTAGCTTGGGAACTTTCACAGAGAAGAGACAAACACTTTCAGACGCGCAAAACTTGTAATCCACGTTACGCCGGGCCAATCTCTGCAAATGGACTTGAAAACAACGTGTTTCTGCATTAATCCTCCTGTGCCGTTAATGCCGATATATTTACGGCTTGGACTTGGCCTAATGTGTTGTCGGGCGCGAATGAGATAACGACACGATCACGTAGAATTCTCATTCATAAAATGCATGCAATCTTACAAATAAATAAATAAATTTTTTTTGTTTCACATATTCTTGAACCGTGTTTTTGAACAACTCTCTCTGAAGAATCTGACGTATTTTTATTTTTAATTAATTTTGCAAAAATTTCGCAACATCTTCTCTCAATCAATCGTCAACCAACAAGTCCTCTGTTGTTTATTTAACGGAAAAACAATTTTACGCAATTTATTTCTAATTACTTGTCCGAAAGTAATTCGGACAAAACCGAATCAGAGGTTCAGAATTGAAAAATGTTTATTTTATTATGTGACGTAAAAATAAAAATGAAAGGGATAAAGAGAGGAAGGAGGAGAATGAAGAAAAATCTTATTTACAAAGAGTATCCATAGTATATATTTACATTTTGAGGATCGGTATGCGTAATAAAAGAGTATACACGCAGGCTTAAAAGTTGATTCACATCCGGCGAGTGTGATATCGTATTGATTGCTCATCGGATGTAAACTACAGACACACACACACACACACACACACACACACACACACACACATAAGGGAGAGAAAGGGCTCTCTTTTTTGTTTTTTTGTTTTTTTTTTTGTTTTTTTTTTGTTCGCGTATAAAATAATAAATTAAAATCCTAATAAAGAAGGTGGATACGGAGCAAGTGGATGAGTTTTATGGCCTTGGCAGTTACGTTACTGCGTACTCCGCGTAACAATGAGTGCGTCTCTCTCCTAAACCCGTATATACGCTCTACTTATTTTTACGTATCTGCAATACAGCAAGTTATGCATAACCGTTTGCCGGGGGACGGAAAATCATAAAAATGCAAAAACTTTTAAGATTATGCCACACTCGGGATTTTAACGGCCGCGCTTTCACGACGTACGCGCGCGCGCGCGCGCGCTCTCATTTTCAACTTACGCGCCGAACTGCGAATCGTGAGTCGCGTAAAAGTCGTTAATACGCGCGCGACGGAAGGAAATGGCGGCTCGTCGCTTTTGCGTTTTTCCCCTCGTGCCCGATCGTATCAAGGCGATGTTTTGAGGTTGTGCTCTCGTGTTTCCGCCGTGTGTGCGTGTATACGCACAACCACGTGCCACTCTTTCGCAGCGCAGCGCGCGCACGCACGCACGCACGCACTTGCGACAGCGGACTAGACATATTCCGTATCCACCAGAGTTTATATGTCGTCTTGCGTGCAAAAAAATCGAGCGAACGCTCGCTCGCGGAAACGAGCACGGCGCGCGTTTTCACTCGAAACGAGATTCTCACAGGAGCTCTCGGTCACCGTTTTGCCGGATCGTTAAACGAGGTTCTGAACTTTCACCTCGGCTGAAACCGCGTAAGATTCGAGGCCGATCATGTAGCCTACATAAACGGCTGAGTTTGTGATTTTCTCAATAGCCTTCTCTGAGAAGGCTCTCACACGCATTGTTACAAGATACCGCTGCGGCAACGCTCGAAGACGAAGGGCGAAATTCATTCTTTTCGTCGAAACGTTCGATATAAAATTTCTTTTTTGCGAGAATTCGCGGAAAATTATTGATTCGTCAGGAAGTTTATTGTCATCGATGGGACGGTCGAACGAAGGGAAGAACAGAGCGAGCATCGTAACGTGTCCCCTTGTGAGGGAAACGACCCCATGAAACCGAACGAGAACTAGGCCCACGCAGTTCGCCAATTCGGGGTGAAGAGGGGGGAGGGCAGAGGGAGGAGGGAAATTACACAGGCGTGGACTGGAAAGCTCCGCCAAGGAGCCCCGACCAGCCCGGGGCGAAACGCCATTACGGATGTTAAATGAGTGTTCAGCTTCCGCACGGGAAACCCCGTGTCTAGCCTCAACAATTTTGATACACCTTTCCTTCGAGAAAGGAGGGGCAGGCAGGTTCCCGTGGCGGGGCGATGCAGCTCGGTTGCAGTCACAGTGTCGGTTTAAAGATGTTTTAGTTTATCTATTTTTTTTTTTTTTGAAATGTGTTAGGAATTAAATAAAAATATTTTACATATTTGTTTTCATATATACTGTTCAGAGACTTATAAAAAAAAAAAAAAAAAATCCTTAGAGTCGATTTCACCGAAGCAATCAAAAGTTATAAACATTTTAGTTTGCAACGAGTTTCCTCCCGTAACTTTTATGAAAAATGTGTGACCGCGCGTTAATTCAAGTGGCTAAATTAAATAGAAAAAAAAATGATAGGAATTAGTTCGAACTTTGAAAAGATGAAATTAGATATATGAAGAATTATATTTGATTAAATAATTTTGACTAAGCGCTAGATGGTTTAAAAAAGATAATAAATATAAATTGTTATCTAAGTGACGCGTGTGATTCTCTGTGAAAAAAAACGTGGCAACATGGCACTGTTATTACTCGAACGTCTGCGCGCGCATACGTACGCGGTTCTTTAATTGCGTGAACAAAAATAAAAATAAAAAAAATTAAAATTAAAATACAAAGATGGAGAAATGGCAATAACAAGCTAACATCAGATTGTTCGGGTAAACAATTCTCTTTTAATTCGAAGATTAAAAAAAATTTTTTAACAAACGTATGTTAAAAAATTTTTTTCAAGCGTTAGCTTGTTATTGCCATTTCTTCATCTTTGTATTTAAATATTCAACGAGCTTTGAACATATAATTTAAAAATTAAAATTTACATTTCTGCGCTCTAATTATGAATAAAGATTCTGCGTAATTTTTATTACTTAAATTACGCAAGAAAAGCATATATTCGTCAAAATCGAGTTTCAGCTACTATTTTGCTACAATTGTACGTACAAAAAACATCCTTAAGTTCAATACAATCGAATTTAAATACTTTAAGTAGTATCCGATTTTTTTGTTAAAAAAAAAGAAAAAAGAAGAAATTTCCTGCAACAAAACCGTCGTTTCACGCGAGATTCTGATATTTTAACGAAATAAGTGTGTCAGACAGAACACTAATTCTTAAAAAAAAAAAATTCTTTTTCTCGATATACGGATCGTGTGTTTAACGTCTTTTTGCCGATTTCATCGGATTTCGGAGTTGAGGCTCGTCAATGGGTGGTGCGCGGTCATCGATCGGTAATCCGATCAAAAAATCTCGTTCGCGATATTTGAAAACTTTCTCTGTGTATCTCGTTCTCAAAGGGACCATTCGATGAGATTTCCATAAGCAAAGATTAGGATAAGCCGCTGACGCGAGGACACGGCGCGAGAAATCGCAGCGTTATGCGATTTCTCGGACGGAATTTTTTTTGGCTCGAGACAGATAACAGGGAGGATGATGACGACGCGGGGGGAAATCCGTGGAAATTTTTTTCACACAAACCGGTAAAGATGATGAGAGACGCCCGCGCGTCTCTTCCTGCAATAAGCTCTCGTAATAAGCGTCGGCGAGAGGTGAAAAGTTCTTGAGCAACCGGACGATTCGTTTGTATAATAACCCATTATCGATACCGGCCAACAAGTAATTATCACTTTCGCTCGCTTGCAATAAGAGAAATAGAATTGCGCAAACTTTCGTTTCTCGCGCGGTTCATACCTTCTAATGCTAGTTTCTATCATTCAGACGTTTTTGTTTTTTTTTTTGTTTTTTTTTTCGAAGCATATACCGACGAGTTATACAATTGACGGATGTGCTCGAACAATTTTTGAAGAAATTAAATAACGCGCGCAAAAAAAAAAATTGCGCCGGGATCGCGCGTTATCGAATCGCAAAAAGAAAACTTGGAGAGAGATTGCGATTTCTTTTTCTTCACGTAAATATTTTCGCGATGTGCAAACACAAAAAAGAAAAAATTGCGTACCAATGACGCGCGATTACGATCGATCGTGTGCGCGATCGATTGTTCGCGGTTAAAATTTCGTGTTTCCGTGAAAGAAAATATCGCCGAAGAAACGCGCAACGCTTCGAATGTCGCGAAGCGATTTGCTCTATTGCCGATCTCTCTGAAACTCGCTTCTCGGGAATGATTGCGAGATTCTTTGATCGTTTAATCGATCTTGCAAGCGAAGAAAGTGAAACGGCATCACGTTAGCAGCAATGTACCCCGTCATCTTTGTTTCGTGTATAAATAATGGAAATCCAAAAAAAGTCTCCGCAAGATATAATAACGAAGAACCCGAGAGCGCGCGCGCGAGAGAGAGAAAAACTTAANAAAAAAAAAAAAACTATTATTAAATATTTTCACAAAGGCACACTCGCGTTTAGGATTGAAGTTTTTTTTTACGCCAAGTTCGCTCCGCTCCCGTAGATTTGTTGATCTCCTCTCGTTAATTGCTTCTCGCTCTTCTTCGGCCTGACCGATCTGATCTCCTTCGTCGCGTATTTGGTGTCGAAGAACAAAGCCACAGGCGGCAAACTTTGCAGATACTTCTCGTTCGCTCTTCTGTCGTCAATCTTCTCGATCCGTTCGTTACTCTGCGCCTGACTGTCCACGGTTATGAAATGACCGTTGACGGCGTCGGTTCTTTGCAGATCGGGACCGAAAACCTTTTCGAGTTGCTGAGCCTGCGGCGGGCCTTGCAATTCTATGGCGCCGTTTTCCGGCTGCTCAATTGCGGCCAGTATGTTCTGAAGAAGTCCGTTGGACAGTACCTGATCGTGTCTGATGCTCCCGTCCGAGTTCTCCGTGTTCAATTCCCCGTTAGCCGGATGTATCTGCAGCTTGTAAATGCCTTTGGAACCTTGAATCTCAAATCCGTCGTCGCCGCTCGAGGTCAGATGCTGGGCCAGAGACAGCGCCTCGTTGTTGGTTTTCAAAAACTGATTAGCGTCCAACTCGTTCGAATCGAGATTCTTCTCCTGATTTAGACCCTGAGCCGTCAAGCTTGCGGTAAACGCTTCGGCCGAATAAGATTGACTAGACGAGAGCTCGTTCGTAACGTCCGCGACGGACGTGCGTATCTTGGAATTGCTCGCCTCGTTGGACGAGTCGTAAGTCAGTCCCACGGGATTGCCGTAACTGTCCTTCAGATTCGTTTTCTGTTGCTCGTCGTGCTGCAGATCCAACGTGTTAACCGGCGGTCCGCCCAAGAAATTATCCAACGGTTTTGCGAGCGGCAACGACGAGGACAAATCGGTCTCCGCGAAACTCGCGGCCAGAGAATTGGCGAAATCCGACGATAGATTTTCCGCGTTTCCGAGCGCGATTTCCGTGGTTTTAAAATCGAGCCGCGAGGGTTGGTCAACGGAATGTTGTTGCCGCGCGCCTTCGTGCGCGAGCAATCCGTTACCAAGCGACAATTGCCCGCTCGAGGGCAATTCGCCTCCTGAAGATAAGCCTCCGTTCAAGTGTAGCTCTCCGCTGGAATGTAATTGGCCAGTTGAAGATAAACCACTGGCCGAAGGTAGCGCACCGTTCGCGGACAGCGGTTGCGAGGAATCGCAATTGCCACCGCCGTTGATCGAAAATGGAACAACGGGCGTGCCGTATGTTGTTGTTAGCACGTTGTCGATACCGCCGTAGAGATTGTTGCTGCCGAATTCGGAAGAAGACGTCGAGACGAAAGAGGTCGGCGGTCCGAAATTGGGCGCTCCGTAAGTCAAATGAGGCGTTTGCGCGTTGAACGCGGTAAATGACAGTGGCGTTCCGTATTGGACGTGAGGCGCCGCGATAGCGGAATTGTGTTCGTTGAACAGCGACGCGGCCGATGCGAAAGTTGAACCGCCGCTGGCGAACGAATTGCCGGCACCCGATGCGTGACGGAAAGACACAGGCGCGTGAACACTCGGCAAATGTTGTTTTGCGACAGGCGGCAGGTACTTGTGAATGTTCGTCAGCAGTCGCGTTGGTATCGGTTCCCTGAATTTGATCGGTTCTCGATTTTGCGGCGGCGTCAAGGAGTTGAAGAGAATCGGCGGCGGTCTGAAACCAGGACCTGGGAGTTTGTGATGGTGCGGAGCACCTTGTTTGTAAAACAAATGTTGTCCAAACGACGGGAACGGACTTCGTCCGCTCTGCGCATTGGGATAAGGTCCGTTGGACGAGTACGAGGACAGCGGCACGTTGTAAGTGTTCAAAGGCGGTGGAGGAATCAAAGATCCGTCGGTTAGAGGATTTTCCAAATTAATTGCGAGCGAGGGCACGTTGTAATCTTCCAACGGTTGTTTCTGCAGCAGCGGTAGCTGCTGCACGGACAGATCGTCGTTTCCTAGATTTTGAAAATCGTGAGAATTTCCGGCGTTGCTCGTCGGAGCGTGCGTTCCGCCATCTGCCGATTCCGAGTGATGCAAAAGAATGTTTTCAAGTTGCTTGAAATAAAAATTCCCGTTCAAATCGGGAAGCGCGTTCGACGGCGTTCCATATTGCGAGTTTAATTGCTGATGTCGATCCGATTTGTGATCGGTCGTGACGGTTACCGCGGCCTGACCTTGATTGTGCAGAGGTTCGTGCTGCGGTAAAGGCGGGGGCGGCAAACCGTTGTTCTCCGAGGACGACTCGTGCACGGACGTTTTTAGATTCTGATCCTCGGGGTTGCGTATCGGCGCGCCGTAAGAATCACTGGGCACGTTAGGCGAAATATTAAGAGACGCGTGTGACAATTGCGTTCCCGTGGAAGACGAACCCTCGATATGATTTTGCTTCCCGTCAATCACCGGCGGACCGTAAGCGTCCGTCGGTGGACTTTGATTATTAGCGGGAGCGGGCAATCCCGCGATAGGTTGCCATCCATCGTACTTGATGTCAGGTGGTGTGGGTGGAGCTGGAACTCCTGGCGGAGGTGCTGGCGGCGGAGGTCCGTATATATCAACGGCCGGTGGACCGTATTGCGGTTGCGGTTCGGATACGGGCGGCGGCGGTGGACCGTACTCGTCATCGGGCAAAGGATTAAACTGAATAGCTAATTTCGGAGGCGGTGGTCCGTAAGTTTCGAGCGATAGAGGAATAGGTGGGCCGTGGCCTGGTTTAAGAGGCTGACTACTCGGCGTGCCGATCAACTTCAATGGCGGACCGTAATGAGGTTTCGGCGATCGAAACAGCCCGAACGAACCGGACGGCGACGTAAAGTGTTGTTTCAGCAGTCCATAATGAAGTTTAGGTGGACCGTAAGTAAGCTTTGGAAGAAGAGGCAGACCTCCGAAACTTTGTTTCGGCGGTCCATACGAGGCAGGTGGCGGTCCAAATATAGGAGGCGGTAATTCTGGCGGAGGTGGCGGATAAATAGGCGTCGGTCCGTGATCGCCAACTAATTCCGGAGGTCCGTACACCGGAGCCGGTCCTTTAAAACCGTTCCCCAAAGGCGGTCCGTAAGCGTCGGATGGAGATTCGAACGAGTTGCTTATTCTATCGTCAGCTTTGGTTCTGAGTTTCTCTTCTTCCTTCGTCACCTGCGAAGCTGCCTTGTTGACCACCGCTTGTGCATGATGTCCGATTAGCAGGATGCAGAAGAACAGCGCAAATAACATCTGAAAAGAAAAATTAAACAAACTGAAGAATCGAGATGATTAGCCTCCTTAACACGTTCACGCCGGCGTGACCCACCGGTGGGTCACACCTGACTGTTCCGTGGGGCGGCGTGACCCACCGGTGGGTCACACTTGACTATTCCGTGGGGCGGCGTGACCCACCGGTGGGTCACTTGTTTTCAGAAAATTAGTCGTTAAAAAAATAAGCGCGTTCGAACTCGCAACAGTGTTGCCCCGCCCCACGAAGCGTAAGGAGATAAGACAGTCCCGCCTCACGCGAAAAAACGTAGATTTTCGCCCCGGCGTGAACGTGTTAATCGAGTGATAATTGATTTCGTTGCAAAAGACAACGAAGATTCCATTCGGTCGGAGCAAAGTGCCGAAATTATTATGTGTACGTGTGCTCTAATTAGCTCGATCAAGTCTTAAGAATGATTTCGTTCTAAGAAAATTACCGCGCTCGTTTATTGTGTAGCAACCGTGTTCGAGGCCGTGAGAACTTTTGTTATTACACACGCCTACGCCGGGGGGGGGGAAGACACCTTAAACGTATGCGAAAATTATGTAAAGCCGCGCACATTCTGAGGATTAAAGAGGCGTGAATAATTACGTCAATTGTAAGCGGAGTGATGACTGTTGCACGAACCGAGTTGCGAAAAATGAAGGAATTCATCCTTTTTAGGTGCTAATTCCGTCCGGATAAGTGTGAGAGTTAATTAGCATCCGTTTTTTTTTTTTTTCGGCACAAAGAACCGCCGCTTATATTTTGCGTTTCGCTGAAACGAAGCGCTTGAACTCTCCGAGCAGTTTTTTTGTTTTTGTATCTCATTCACGTAGAGTTACACGCCAGATCGATTATTCTCCCGTCAGAAAAAGCAATGAAGAAATTGTACAAGCTCATCGCTTGTCAATGCCGCCAAGAAATCCATCGCGACTTTTCTCCTAAGTGGGACAACGGCCGAGATGTACGGCTAACATAATCAATCGTACTTTCTCTAAAGACCGCGGGAAATGTCCGCAACCCGGCAACGTATTGCAATAACAGCGATTTCATGTACTTGCGTTTTCACGGATGCTTTGATAGTCCTATTTTTTTTTCTTTTTTTTTTTTCTTTTTTAACGTGATGTTTATTCAAGTTGTTCGAACATTCGCGCGCAAATTGTTTTTTTTTTTTTTTTTTTTTACTTGATATCAGTCGCTTGTAAAATGATAATTTAATTGTTTTGTTTGCGGTCGATATTTGTCTTTTACTGTTTTTAATTTTTGCAGATTACGTGAATATTCGATGACGCAAACATGTGTATCGAAAAAAATCATTGACGCACGGTGATTACATGAATGAGAAACGCCGATTGCGGAATCTTTGGATCGCAATCTGTCTTTCATGGTCATGAGCGCGCGCGCGCATTGATCGCTAACGCGCGTGTAATTCAAATCGTTATCTTCTCTCGAGATAATTAACAATTATACATAGTTTGCAATTACAGATAACAGATAATTTTGCATCTACCGTGCCGATCCGCGCACTTTTTTTTTTTTTACTTTGCATACGGAAATGCGTGAGATATCTGTTACTTTCGCGTTCCCGCTTTTATCGCCTCACTCACGCGGACACGATAATCTACATTCGCTGATAATTCTATGCGGTCATTTTTCAATTGTATTTATTTATACTTTCACTTTGTTCAGTCGTTTATTATTTTTTTATTAAGTAAATGTTCCAATGAACCGAATGCGCATCGATGATCGGAAATTTGTTGCAGAAATATAATTTGACGTAATATCAAACGTAACATTTTTTCCTAATTTTTTAAGTATTTTTTAGTATTTTTTTTAGTATTTTTTAAAATTCGTTTCTCTAACTTCACACAATTTTGATATCGTGTTATAATAATTTGTTGTAAAAAATTCGTTCGGGACATTTGTTCGTTACATTTATACGCGCGCGTGCGCAAATTGTTTCATAATTTGTTGATTGTTCGAGAATTCGAATTTGTGCGACGTGTGCAAATTAGAAGAAAAAATCGTTATCGATCAATATACACACCATACTTCGAAGTGAATCGTTATCGGGCGCCGATAAGAAACCGGCAATTACTTAATCTCTGCCTGGGAATCGTCGCGGTGCAATTATCGATAATGCCTCTTGTGTGAGAGACCCCCCTATCGCGCGATCCTTTCATAATGCACGCGTCCCCTCTTATTAGTACGGAAATTTATTCACATTGAGGGGTGTGTAACGTTATTTCGGTCTCGCGCGGAGAGATCTCCCAGCGCGCCAACCAGCGTTTGCCCTCTGTTACTTCTTTCGTTTCTTGATAAAAGTGAGATACGACGCGGTTACATGTGACGCTCGCGCTCGAAAAACCTTCCGATCGAGATCGGAACGAAAACACGGAGATTCGTGCGTTTCGCGGAATGACACGTGCGAATTAACAGGATTGAAAAAAATCAATAACGAGAAAACAAAAACAAAAACAAAAAAAAATCCAACCGAAATCGAACGAGCACATCTTCGAAGTGAAAGAACGCGCGCGTGCATTGTACGTACGATGGCGACGCGCTTAAATAAATAGCTCCGCGCGACGTGAGAAAAAAAAAAAAAAAAAACCACTCGCGCGAAAACTCTGGACCGCGGCCACTGGATTTGCTTTTTCATGTAAAATGCATTTATCGCACTTTGATTTAATCCTAAGGAGAGATGAAAGTTTCACACGGAAAAACAAAGAACGACAATCGGAGCTCGGAGCTCCGTCGTCGTCTGCGACCTACCTTGAATCTAACCATGATACACACGCGCATAAACCGCAGTCTCTGCCGGCACTACACACAAATTATCTGACACTACGTGGATTTCCTCGCTCTTTGCACGGTCTCCCTGTACTTTTCGCCGCCGCGCCTCTCTCTCTCTCTCTCTCTCTCTTTCTCTCTATCTCTATTTTTAAAAGGAAGTCGCGTCTATCCCGCGAGCTTGTCGTCTGCGATTTAACGGTGGCTTTTCGTATCACACGTCGCGCACATCATAGCGGCACTCGTCGAGAGCCCGCAGCCTCTTTGACGGACGAGCACGACAACTCGCCGGTACCGACACAAAAAATGCTCAGTCTCCGTATGAAGCCTCCGCTTATATAGACTCCGAGGGGGCCTACGAGTCGCGGAGGAGTCGTCGAGACTGAGGTTGCCGGGTGAATCGTGGAAAGGAGACCCGGGGAAAAGGAGAGAGAGTGAGCTCGCGCCTAAGGGTACGGAGAGAGGAACAAGGAAAGAGAGAGAGAGAGAGAGAGAGAGAGAGAGAGGAGTGTGCACAGGTAAAGAGATGACGCGCTATACGCGGAGGAGAGGAGACGAGCGGAGCCGAGAAGACGGAACCCTCCTCGCACATGTCGCGTTAAAAAAAAAAAAAAAAAAAAAAAAAAAAAAATTAAATATCTCCAAGAAGATATTTTTTTTTCGCGGATATTTTCTTCTTTATTTTATCAATAAATTTGTAGCTATTACACTTCAAAAAAAAAAAAAAAAAAAAAAAAAAAATTCTCTTTGTAGAGAAAGTAGGCTAGGCCCTGCCTCTGTTTCTCCGAGCGAGTCGAAGATGCGCGCGTATATATGTTTCCCGGTCCCCGGCGCGTCTTCCGAGTGAAACCGGTTGGTTGATTCTTTCCTCCAATTGATTAGTTCTATTATTATTAAACATATTTATTGGCCAAACAAACAAGCGTCCGACAAACTTATCGCGAATTCTGACTCGTATTATTAATTCGATTACCAGTCAGCAACCGGAAAAATTGACGAGGAAAACTGACCGGTTTTCCTGTTTATTGATTTGTGTTTGATTAACATAGATATTAATCAATAAAAAAATCAATAAACATTTATAGACCGGGAAAAATCCGACTCGTTATATATTCCGTTCTATAATTTCTACTCGGGAAAATCGTTTGATTCGACAGACGCGCAATAATCGGAGATTTGACTGAAAATCTTGTGACGATTGGCAGATTGTGGCGTTTAAGAGTCTCATTTGTGAAGAGACGCTAGTTCTTATTTGAGATATCTGCCGCACGCTTATTTGAAACGATTGGCCAAGAATCACCGATGCGTCATTAAAGTAGTCACGAAGGATGTGCATTAAGAATATTGCATCGCGTATCATCGCGCATCCAATGCGTCTCGAGAAATCTTTGCGCAACGCGACGTAATAACGCGAGCCCCACGGCGAATTGGTGTAATCTTTAATTATTAGCCGATTAATTGTCGGTATCAATCGCGTGTCGTCAGTTTTTTTTTTTTTTTTTTTTTTTTTTTTTTTTTTTTTTTTTTAACAAATAGAACGTGAAACAATTAAGTAAATGACAATCGCGGGCCAACGCGGTGTTGTTATTATTCCAAACCGGTCTCTTTGTTCAAAAATAAAACGTCTCGAGTCTCGTCGGTAATAAGAATGAAGTCTTAAGTCGTTGTTAGCCAATCGGTGGATGTTTTATCCTGTTGCAAAACAAATAATCTTGCATAATTAACCGTCTTACATAAACAATTTCTTTTTGTTACTTGTTCAGTTTTTAATTAACAATAATATACTCTTTCGGTGATATTTCAATCGGGAGAGACAGACACCATCTGCGGCTGAATCAGCGGATGTGCTGATGACACGTTCAATTCTCTCCGCGAAACTCCCCCCCCCCTCATAAGTTACGATAGATAGTGCCTCGAGAAATTGGATCTGATATTTCTATACAATATATAGCTTTGTCTTTTAATTTCGTATCTCACGCGTTTTTTTTTCTTTTTTTTTTTTTTCTTTGACGTTCGCGTCTCGCGCAGTAAATTTTCGGATTCGATTAAAAACATCGCAAACCTACGTTATTTTAGCTTCGCACATTCATCCAGATTCTTATTCTTCAGTGAAAGCAAAATGCAAAACCGCAAGAGTTACAGAGACTCTTTCTTGCTCGTTAGATCACACTTGCAGATCACGTTTATTTACACGCCGTGTTTTTATATAAATCATAAGTACCGCACAATAATTATCGTAAGATTATCAGTTCGAGCAGAATCCACACGGTCAAGGTGAACGAACTCTCGACGGACATTAAAGTTTTAGGGTCACGTCGAGTGGAATGCGCGCAGGTGCGGCAACATCTTGTGTGTGTGTGTGTGTGTGTATGTGTGTGTGTGTCTTCGTCAGGTGGACTTTCTTCTTTCTTTCGCTCGAGGACAGCGTGATAACACACACACACACACACACACGCACACGCTCCGAGAGAAATCAAACAAACGAGACATTTGTCCGGCCACGTTCGTTCCTGAGCTAACGGATATTTTTGGAATAAGTCACATCTCTTCTGTCATCTTTCAAGCGCTACCGTACGTGCCACATTAGAAGTAAAAGTAAAAACTTTCTTCGGTGGACAACGCGTGTGTGGCACTAAGGAAACTGAACATTTCTAATTAGTTTACGGTGTGCCTGGCGCTAATTAACCCTTGGACGAGTATTTTGTTCAATTTGACAATTGCGCTCGCTATTAAAATAATAAGCGTTTTTCTTAACCTTCTCAAGCTGTTTGCAGCTAATTAATTAATATCTATTACGCCACATTGACAGCTTATGTAATTATACTGTGACTTCTTTGTTTTTGTATAGGTATATATTTTTTTTTTGCGCGACTGATGAAAACTCTAGTAAGAGCAGAAACGTTTCGCTGTGTAATTTTCTTTGCCTATATATATATCTTTCACGCCATAAACTTCTGGTTGTTGCTCGTTATTTGACCTTTTATTTCATTTGTTTGCTAATTAATTAACCCTTCAGTGTTAGACATAAAAAATGATGTACGAGTTGTCCAGACTGGGTCTGTGAGACCCATGCGACTTTAAGTTCGAATATCTCCGCGAAACATCAATATTTTTTCAATTTCTGTTTTTTGAATCGAAAGATTGAACGATTCTGCATCGATCAAAAGAAACTGATTGAAAACATCTCCAGTAGTTTTGAAGATACAAGCGTTTTCAAGAGAAACCTGACAATTTTTTTTTTTCAAAAAAAGGCTTTTTGTTTAAAAATTCATAACTTTTTGTGTAATTGAGATTATCATAAAATTCCAACGCGGTTTTGTACGAACTCGTTTGTACTCCCGGAAACGAAAGTGTCTTATAAAAATTGTAAAATTAAAAACATTTTCACAATGGGTTTTTTGGGGATGTTATTTGAAAAATGTATTTTCCTAGCGCCCAACTTTGACCATCAATATTTTAGCAATAAATCAATATTTAGACATATTCTTCTTTTTAAATAGAAAATTTAAACGATTCCGCGTCGATCAAAAAAACAAATTGAAAAACTCTCTAGTAAGTTTCAAAGAAACGTTTGAAACGTTTCTGCGCGCCGTGACCTAACAAATCGCTATAAATGTTCATGTATTTTGATAAAATTATAAAAAAACTACAACTTTTTAATATATCAGAAGTGCACACAAGCTGAAAAAAAAAAAAGAAAAATAGTTTTACGTTTCGAAATGCCAACGTCTTGTCCAGACTTAGGTCTCTCAGACTCTTTGCATTTCAAAAGTCAAACTTCGCAAAGCTATCATTAAACAAAGGACGCCGTCAACGTCTTCTATCATCGTCTAAGGCCTTAAAGTTTTTTTTCACAGCCTTCAGATGTCGCGCTAAATTAATACCTAGTAGAGACACCAATTTAAAAATTTGGATGGGTCTCAGAGACCCATGTCTGACCTCCCAAGAGTTAAGTTCTCTCAGAACTACGCCTTTCTCGCGTCGAGAAAAATTCTACACGCCTTTCACTCGAGGAAAATGATATAGTTTATTCGTTCGAATAATTTTTGGAGTTTTAACGTTTCGATTGACCATAGTCATAAAGTAGTTCGATTAATCGTAAAGTAAATTGGCGTAATGATGACTTGTGTATCAGTTGCGCGATACGCAGGATCATAATGCGGTCGCGGTGCAATGCGTGTATCGAGATATATATATATACATACGTGTATTGCTCGAAAGCCGCATTTAGTATTCCAGAATCCCAACGTTCACTTCATATATTAAGGGATTTAATATATGTACGCATACATGTGTGTGTATATATACGTTCCCGACGGGCAAATGGCAACGGTATCGGAAAATCTAGTAAGTGTCGATCTATACGATTTATCAGCTCCAGTTGGTTCGTCACACCTGATCTCCTGCTAAATCGTCCGTGTGTCCGACAATCGGCACGCACAGCTGCCTCGATTTGCAATGAACAACCAGAAGTGACTCAGTGAATTAACGTTCGTGCGTTTCGAAAGCATCTGCTTATATGATTATCGCGCGGTAAAAGATGAGAAAGAGAAGAGTCAATGATCGCGTAATTGAACAAACCATTTATTCACAAAAAAAACATTTGAAACAATACAAAAACATTTCTTTGACAAAAGAAATTTGTTATTAATACGTAAAATTTATTATATATTTTCTATTATATATTTTCAAAGAATATTTAATATTTTAATTTAAAAAGTTGCAAGTATTTTTTTAAAGACCTTTCTCGTCACTTTTTTTTGTATCATCAAATTTGATGTAATTTGATGTAATTTTGATCGAGTTCAGTGAACAAACTTTTTAAATCAAGATGCATATTTGTCAACTTCGTTATTTACAAAATTATAATTTTTGTAACACAAAAAAATCGCGACACAGCGCGTTGCTCTTTTTTTTTTTTTTTTTTTACCGATTGAAAATTTTAATTCACTTTCATTTCTGCGAAATGAGTTTATTCAAATGTAATGCGGGCGGACATGAATGCGCGCAGCGGGTATTTTTTGTTTCAATCGACTAATGACTTCTCATCCAATCGGCGGACTTGACAAACGTTCACTTACATAAGTAAGAACAACCTTTCAATGTAAAACACTCGACCCTCGTCATTCTCACAATATGTAGATGTTGTTTCACCAACGACACTTATTGCATTGTGACGAACGTTTTCACTAATACATAGTAATCGTGACAAATCGATGCCAATCTTCTGCACGCGCGTCTCCCCTCTGTGACGAAATCCCGGCTGCTTATTCAAGCGCAAAGCTGTAAGACGAACGTCCCACAACGAATGTCCCTACCCTAATTACGATGAGCGCAAAAATTTATACATTCTCGTGTTCTTACAAGTCCGAC